AACAGAAAACTGACAAACACAATGACCAATTTTGCTTTGCCTTGTCTGATAATCTTCAGAGTCTGTTTGTACCCTAGCTTATACCTTCCACTTCTCATGATGAGTTGGAGCCTATAAATGATCAGTTCCAGTTTCTACAAAACAAACATTTATAATGGACCTTAAGCCTTGTATATACCAACCTCAAAACTGGATCTAGCTTTCTGAAGCTGAATCCCATAATAAAATTCCTAAAGTAGAGGGCCCCATGTTCTCTCAGGTTCCCTTTGGGACCCTTCAGATGCCAGTGGGCATGCTGTCTTCCCAGTGTTGTGTGTGTCTCATTAAAATTCTCATTAAAATTAATTAGAGCAGTTTTAGGTTTGTAGAAAAGTTGAACAGAAAGTGCAGAGGTATCATATACCCCCTCCACCTCACACCTCACTACAACAACATTTCCTTTTTCTCTTTCTCCTCCTCATCAATATTATTATTATTATCATCATAATCATCATCACCACCATTAACATCATCATCATTATTTTCTTTTGGTACTAGGGATTGAACCCAGAGGGGTTTTATCATTGAAGTACACTCCCAACCCTATAATTTTTTTTTTTTAATTTTGAGATAGGGTCTCTCTAACTTGCTGAGGCTATCCTTGAACTTGTGATGTTCTGGCCTCAGCTTTCAAAGTTGCAGAGATTGTAGGTGTGCTCCACTGCGCCTGGTTACATTTCCATGTTATTAACATCTTGTATTATATGGTATATTTGTTACAATTAATGGGCCAATACTGATACATTATTCTCAACTAAATCCCATAGTTTACATTAGGATTTAACTTTCTGTGTTGAACTTTCTGGGTTTTGATAAATATATAATATCATGTCCATAACTTCAGTATCATAGAGAATAGTTTTATTTTACCTTTTTTTTTTTTTTTCCTTTTCTTATTGTTACTGGGACTGAACTCACAGGCACTTTACCAATGAACGTATGTACCCACAGCCCTTTATATTATGTTTTCTTTTTCTTTCTTTTTTTTTTTTTTTTTGTATCAGGGACTGAACTCAGGGGTATTTAACTACTGAGCCATATCCACAGCCCTTTTTATTATTTGTATATTTTAAGTCAGGGTCTTGCTAAGTTGTCTAGGTCCTTGCTAAGTTGCTGAGACTGGCTTGAACTTGCGATCCTAATGCCTCGGCCTTCTTCCGAGTCTCTGGGATCACAGACTTGGACCACCACACCTAGCTTTTTATTATGTTTTTTATTTTGAGATAGAATTTTACTATCCTAAATCCCATAGTTTACATTAGGATTTAAACGGGGTGCCAGGGTAAATGTAATCCCAACAATTTGGAAGCCTGAGGCAGAAGAATTTCTGAGGCTTCCAAATTGTTGGGATTACAAGCAGGCACCCTGGCACCCCATTTGTACCTCTACCTTTTTATTATTTTCTCCTTCTCCTTTAACTAGCAACCACTGATCTTTTTATCATCATTTTACTTTAGCTTTTTCCAGAATGCCATATAGTTGGAATTATACAGGATGTAGAGTTTTTAGACAAGCTTCATTGACTTGGCAACATGTATAATGTTCTATGATTTTTTTTTTTTTTTGGTGGCTTGATAGCTCATTTCTCTCTCTCTCTCTCTCTCTCTCTCTCTCTCTCTCTCTCTCTCTCTCTTTTTTTGCTGCTAAATAATATTCATTGCATACACGTACCACTTCAATTCCTATCAAGTCTGTGCAATTATGAAGCAAGTTGCTATAAATATCCATGTCCAGGTTGTTATGTGAATCTAAACTTTTTACTTGCTGGTTAACTACCAAGGAGTACAATTGCTAGATTGTGTGCTAAGACTATATTTAGCTTTGTAAGAAGTTGCCAAACTGTCCTTCAAAGAGGCTGTATAATTTTGCATTCCTGCCAACAATGAATGAGAATTTGTTGGTCCACATCCTCATCAGCAGTTGGAGGTGTCAGTATTTTAGATTTTAGCCATTCTAATAGGTATATAGTGATATTGCATTGTTTTATTTATTTATTTAGGTACTGGGGATTGAAACCAGAGGTGTTTTACACCACATCTTTAATTGTTTTCACTTTTTGAGACAGAATCTCACTAAATTGCCCAGACTGGCCTTAAACTTGGCGATCCCCTTACCTTAGTCTCTTGCATCACTAGGATTACGGGTAGGTACTACTGTGTCCAGCAGTTTTCTTAATTTTTTGTTTTTAATTGTAGAAGGACACAATACCTTTATTTTATTTTTTATTTTTTTATTTTTTAAAAAATATTTATTTTTTAGTTGGACACGATATCTTTATTTATTTATTTTTATGTGGTGCTGAGGATCAAACCCAGGGCCTCGCATGTGCTAGGCAAGCGCTCTACCACTGAGCCACAACCCCAGCCCCTTATTTTTTATTTTTATATGATGTTGAGGATTGAACCCAGTGCCTCACACATGCTAGGCAAAGCTCAACCACTAAGCTATAACCCCAGCCCCTGTTGTTTTAATTTTCAATTTCTTGATGGTATATACTGTTGAGCAACTTTTAATATGCTCATTTGCCATCTGTATGTCTTCTTTGGTGAGGTATGTGTTTATATCTTTTGCCCATTGTAAAATTGGTTTATTTTCTTATTGTTGAGTTTTAAGAGTTTTGTTGGTATATTTTGTATATAAATCCTTAATCAGATAGAAATTTTGTGAATATTTTCTCCCAACCTATGGCTTGTCTTTTCATTATCTTAATAGTGTCTTTCACAGAATAGAAGTTTTAATTTTAATGAAGTCCATTTATCAGTGGTTTTACTGTGTGAACTATGCTTTATATCTAAAAATTTATCACCAAATCCAGGGTCGCCTAGATTTTTTTCCCTATGTGTTTGTCTAGAGGTTTTATAGTTTTGCCTTTTACATTATGTGTATCATCCATTTTGATTAATTTTGGGGAAAATTTCAAGATCTTAGTCAAAATTCTTTTCTTCTTTTCATATGGATGTCTATTTATCCTTGCACTACTTGTTCAAAAGACTATCCTTTATTCAACTGCCTTTACTCTTTTGTCAAAGACTATTTGAGAGGCTGGGAGTGTAGTTTAGCACATGTAAGGCCCTGGGTTTGATCCCCAGCAACTCAAAAAACAAAAAAAAAACTCAACCAAACAAAACCAAAACCAGTTGACTATATTTCTGTGCGAGTCTATATCTGGGCTCTGTAGTCTATTACCTTGGTCTTTTTTTTTTTTTAACCATTACCACAAACTGTTGTGCTTAGTATGATGGTCTTACAGTATATCTTAAAGTCCAGCAGAGTTGACGCTGACTTTATTCTTTTCTCTCAACATTGTATTAAAATGTTCTGGTGGGTCTATTTCCTTTCCATACGAACTTTACAATTAATTTGTTAAAATCTACAGATTATTTTTTTAAATTGATAGATTAAATTATATGTATTTACCATAGACAATAACATGATGTTTCCAAGTACATATACATTGTGGAACAACTAAATTTAGCTAATTAACATATGTATCACCTCACATAATTATCGTTTTTATTGAATTTTTTTTTTTAGTTATTGATGGAACTTTTTTTTATTTATTTACATGCAGTGCTGAGAATTGAACCCATTGCCTCACACGTGCCCGGCAAACGCTCAGTTGTACCACTGAGCTACAACCCTGGCCCCACATAATTATCTTTTTATATTGGTGTGTGAAACTGGGAATTGCTCCAGGAGTGCTCTACCAGGGAGCTATACCCCTGGCTGTTTTTATTTTTTTATTTTGAGACAGGGTCTCACTAATTTCCTGAGGGTCTCACTAAATTTCTGAGGCTGGCCTTGAACTTACAATTCTCCTGCCTTAGCCTCTGGAGTAGCTGGGATTACAGGTGTGTACCATAGTACTGGTTTAATTATTTAATTTGCTAGATTTTTATTCAGGTTGCATTGAATATTTATATAAAGTTTGGAATAAATAACATATTGGTAAGATTGTCTGCCCATCCATGAACCTGGAATATATCTTCATTTATTTGATCTTCTTTGATTTCTTTCATGAATTTTGCTTTTTTTTGTGCCTGCCAGTTTAATTTGGAGAAAATTCCATTTTGGCAGGTATGGATAGACCTACTTCATCATATTAGAGAGAGGAATATTATTTCATTATGTGGTTTTGCAAAAATTTACTTAGTCATTCCCTTATTGATGAATATTTAGGCTGCTTCCAATCTTTTTTCTACCACAAAAAATGCTGCAGTGAAATTTTCATGTAATTTACCCTGATGAACATATCTTAGAATAAATGTCTCAAAATAAAGTCATGTAATCAAAAGTATATACAATTTAAAATTTGTTATCTTTTGTTAATTTCCTTCCAAAGAAGTTGTATAAGTTTTCTCTCCTGGACTAGTACAAGGAAATATTCATTTCCCATAGCTTCACAAATAAAATACATATCAGTTATTATAATACTTGTCATTTGGATCAATGAAAAATAGATATCATAGTCTGTGAGATTGAGTATCTTTTATTTATTTACAAGTCCTATGAATAAGAACAATCTTTTTAAAAGCATCATGTGGAAAAAAATTTGGATTATGGCTGACTCATAATGGGCTAAGATAAATAAAATAATAAGGGTAAAATATTTGAGACTTTTAATTTTTACTTTTAAAACATGAGACTTCAGTATTCAAATCTAATTCATAAACCACTTATGATAATATGCTTATATAAGTATATGAAACAATTTTAGAATTAGTTACTTTTTATCTGGATTGCTTCAGGGCTTCTTGTGCAACTTAAATACAAGTTATTTAATGTTATTAATAAAATGCGATAATATTTAATGTTTAAACTAAAGTTGGCATATGATGCTACAGTGAAAATTTTAATGATACCACTTAACATTCTTGTTTCTTTGGCCTTGATCTTATTTTAAAAGTATTTTAAAAATAGATAATCTTGATGAAAAAGTAATTTACTTGGGTTTGTTTCAGGCCAGTGGATATCTGGGCTTTGGGCTGTACGATCATTGAGATGGCCACTGGAAATCCCTATCTTCCTAGCAGTTCTGACTTAGATTTACTTCATAAAATTATTTTAAAAGTAGGTAGGTATTAATGAAATATTCTATTACATGCCTAAATAAATATTACCAGATAAATTCTGTTTGATTTTCAAAGTTAGTTTTTCTGCCTAAAAACAGGGAAGCATATTGTTTGGATAAATGATGGCAGATGGATGCCTGGGGCTGATAGAGAAGGTAGAAAATTTTCTGTTTTTACAAATAATATTTTCTTTTCCAGGATGCAAATAGCTAAGCCATATGTTGATGGTTGGTGCTAAGAAAAACAGTACAAAAGGAATATATTTCAGACTGTCTAAAAGTTGTTAATTTTTGCCTTCTACAAATATTTGTACTTTTAAAATAAGAACTTTTGAACAATAGAATTGAGTCAAATTTTTTTAAAGCATTTGGAAATAGAAACACCAATTATTTATTTATAAACCATTCTCTTCAACCAAACTAAAACAAAAGAAAAAACCTCAGGGTAGTTAAAATAACTTATTCAAGAACATATTTGAGGGCAAGGGTGGTGGCTCAGTGGTAGAGCACTTGCCTGGCATGTGTGAGGCACTGGGTTCGATCCTTAGCACCACATAAAAATAAATAAAAATAAAGATATAAAAAGAGTATATTTGATGAGGGCTGGGGACATAGCTCAGTGTTAGAACACTTGTCTATCATACATGAGGCCCTGGATTCCATCCCTAATACAACACTCAGAAAAAGAATATATTTGATGACAAACAAAAATTAAAGAAATATATTTGATGAGAGTTTTAACTATTTGATGATCTGCTTTAACTACTCAAATATTTTGGTGGTTAGCCTTGCACAGGGTATTTCAACAATTTGTTTTTAATATTTCTGAATGAAGAGCTTAAGGAATGCTTTGTGTGGTAGGAAAGATATACATAAACATAATTACAGGATTATGAAGAAGGAACTGGGAACAATTATGAAAACAATGAAATCTAGATAAATATTGACTTAAGATACTGTTCAGAGCCTTAAAACATCAACTTCTTTTGTGTCTTCTTTAAAGTTCTGGTTAGGAGATTAATGTTAGAAGGAATCTTAGAGAAAATTAGATTAATCCCGTAATTTTACAGATAAATTCAGCCATAAAAAAAAAAAGAGATTTGCTCAGTCACAGAACTAGTTATAGCAAAACTGATGCTAGCCTTAGTTCTCTCCACTCTTATTTATAGTTCTTTCCACTCTACTACTAGTCTGTAGTCTTGTTTCATCTTATGTAATATTTTGATTTTAAAATAATTTTTAATGTTTTAGCTGTTTTGAGTAAGGCTATAATCTGTTTTGCTGATGAACTTGTAGTTCAACTATTTAGATACCAATAAGGAAATATGTAAAAGTTTAAAAATGCTTTTTGGGATAATAGTACATGTCTTACAGTTTGGGAAAAGAAAACAAACGTGATGTTCCATATTATGCTACCTGTGTGTTATTAACAGTTTACTAGCGAAACCTCAATTTTTTGACATTCAGATAGTTTCTTGTTCAACTTTGAAAAATTTAAAAAACTGTTACTCTTTCTTGTCTCGGTTTTTAGTAATTTAGTGGAGATCACATGGAAATTTGATTATTTTGATTGTAGATAATTTCTATGTTTTCTTATAAGTATGTATTTCTCTTTTCAGGCAATTTGACACCTCACTTGCAGAATATCTTTACTAGGAGTCCTATTTTTGCTGGGGTAGTCCTTCCTGAAGTTCAACACCCCCAAAGCTCAAGGAAAAAATATCCAAAACTTAATGGATTGCTGGCAGATATAGTTCATGTATGTTAAGATTAATAATGTATATCTGAGAAATTTGCATAAATTATAATACTATTTTAAAATATTACTTTAGGGCTGGAGATATAGCTTAGTGGTAGAGCACTTGCCTAGCACATGTGAGTCTCTAGGTTTGATCCCCTGTATCATATATACAGAAAAAATTATCCAGTTTAGCATATCACTAATCATGTTTCCAGATCTGTCAAATGCAAATGATTTCTCATGAACTTTCTACCACACAACACTGATAAGAGGACCAAAACGAGCTAAATAATTTCTGTTCATCACAGAAACACACTGAGCTTTGCTTTGGCTAGAATCATTGAATATTTAACCTGTAATATTGCTTTGCAAGTAAAAATTTCTTAGGGAAATAAATGATCAGAACATACCCTCAGAAATTCCTGAGCTTTAATTTCATCTTTTCTCTCTCATCTCTGGATAATTGACTATTTCTAAGAATCATTTGTCAAATAAATTTAATTTTTGCCCTGTTAGAACTCACTGATTATGAAAATATTTTTTATTTTCTAGGCTTGTTTACAAATTGATCCTGCTGAGAGGATATCCTCTACTGATCTTTTGCATCATGAGTATTTTACTAGAGATGGATTTATTGAAAAGTAAGCATTTGAGTGAATGTGGTCTTTTAAGTATTTTTTAAAAATTTATATATGACAGCGGAATGCATTACAATTCTTATTACACTATAGAGTACAATTTTTCATATCTCTGGTTGTATACACAATATATTCACACCAATTCATGACTTCATACCTGTACTTTGGATAATAATGTTTTGGATACTTTAGGAAATTTTACTAGCAGGAGAATTGCTGGATAGGTTAATGTTATGAAATAACTTAACAAAAGTGTAATGAGTTATTGTTGCAGGTACAGACTATATGATAGACCTACAGGTATCATGGATGAAAATTTAAATAAAATTAATGACAGCTGACATCATAACACATTTACAATATTCTAGGCAGTGTGATATGTTTTCCATTCTACAATTTCAGAGTCATCAGAGGGCAGAAATAACATTAAATAGACAATCAATACATTTTAGCTCCCATTTGGGCCTCTCATAAAATAATTGGTTATTCCTCTTTTGATAGCATCTTTGATCTTTATACTTTAATTAGCACTTCCCAAATTATTTTTTATTTCCTTATTCTCTGCCGTGAGGCTTGCTTTCTGATCCTACCCACTAAATTTGAAGTTCCCCAAAGATAGGGGCCATAATTCTTTAGACCTTCTGTGTCTTACATGGACAATTAAGATTCATTCTTCAGCCTTGTTTCTAAAAATCATTATTTTGTATTTCAGTTTTGAACGAAACAAGAAAGGTTTCTTATTAATTGCAGAATCACTCAGTTTGCCTGTGGACATGAATTCAGAAAGGTGGACAGCAATTTAAATGTGATGGAGTTAAGATCAGGGATGAAAAAGTCTGAGAACTGCCACTAAATAGAAAAAAGGCAAAGAAAAGAGAATCCTTGAGAGTAACTAGAACTTCAAGCATTTCAAGAATTTTACTCTAAAACAAAAAATAAAATTTATTAGTGAACATGCCATTGGTAAAAAGTACCAATCATTACATAAGAAAGTTGCTTCATATAAATTCCATATAGATTAAGTTGATATCTACTGGGTGTTTAGCTATTAGGATTTTACTATTACAGGGTGAAAGCAACTTGAGTTCAAATTATGGAACTCTCAGAAAATGTTTGGGTAAGACTTTTTCCTTTGATACGATGCCTCTTTCCTTTGTGGACCTTCTTCAGTGCAAGGGAGGTTTTATTGTTTGTTTTTTAAGTACCAGAGATTGAACCCCCAGGGGTGCTTAACTACTAAGCACATCCCTAGCCCTTTTTAATATTTGATTTAGAGACAGGGTCTCACTGAGTTGCTTAGGGTCTCATTAAGTTGCTGAGGCTGGCTTTGAATTGGTGATCCTCCTGCCTCAGCCTCCCAAGCCACTGGGCTTACAGGCATGCGCCACTGCGCCCATCTGTGCAAGGAATTTTAACAGAAGTGTGACATTTTCTAATTTAGTCAAAATAATCACACTGGATATTTTTTTTTCTTTTTCTTTTTGGTACTGAGGATTGAACTGCACCTGGCACACACTGGAGATTTGCACATACAGGAGATTTTATATATATATATATATATATATATATATATATATATATATATATATATATATATTTTAGTTTTTGGTGGACATAATATTTTTATTTTTACATTTATGTGGTGCTGAGGATCAAACCCAGTGCCTCATGCATGCAAGGCAAGCACTCTACTACTGAGCCACAACCCCAGCCCCAATAGGAGATTTTTTTACATCTCCTCATACTACCTGTTATTAGACATATGCAACGCCCAGCTGACAAGAGTGGACTGGACTAGGGAAGAATTCATTATGGACTAGTATTTCAAAACTTTCCAAAACCAATGGCAGTAGTGGCTTTTGGAATATCAATTTTGGAATTTTGAACCATAGAAATAAATTTTCCATTAAAAAATAAATAACTTCTGAAAAGAAAGAAAGTCAAACTAAAACCAAAACAATCATCCTTCATTTTTGATGTATTATGTAACACTTTGTACTGAAAATATTTCTCCAGAGTAATATTTCAGAAACTAGGTAGTTCATCTTTTAAGTCCTGTTACTTTAAGGAACCACAAAAACCACATAGTGGCCTGAATTGACCTTGAAAAGAATAGATATTTATCAAAACTTTACTTTTGATAAATGAAAAATTAATTTTAAAAATTTTATTAATAAAACTTTAATTTATTGAATATAGTTTGTATTACAAAAGGAATCTAAATCACCTGTTTGGTAAAAATTTTACATAGTAGATTCCAATAGCAAAGAAATTATGTGTGTGTGTGTGTGTGTGTGTGTGTGTATACATATATATATGTGCATATGTATATATTGAAAGGAAAGTGACCACAACACTCGGAGTGACCAAGAGATCTTTATTGCAGCAGTGCAACAAAGAGAAAAGAAAGAAGGAAAGAAAGAGAGAGAAAAGAGAAGAGATGAACAGGGAGAGAGCAAGAGCAAGAGAGAGACAGAGAGCGCGCGTAAGAAAGATAAAGAACAAGAGAGAGAGAGCAAGAGAGAAAGAGCAAGAGAGAGGGAGCAAGAGAGAAAGAGCAAGAGAGAGGGGGGCCTGGAAGGAGGGAGTTTTTATAGCCCAAATCTCATGGGGCCTCTGGGTCTGCAAGCTGCCTTGTTGGCCCAAGGGGGGGGGGTTAAGTGTTCAGCCTTAAGCAGGGTTGAATGTTCAGACTTGAGGCAAACAGGTGATAAAGGACCAGATAGAGGGGGGTTTGAGTGTGTGGGCTATCTTGCAGCCAACATCTGCTCAGCCTGCCTTGCAGACAACACAGTTCAGCCTGCTCTGCACCCAACATATATATTTAGTGCTGGGGATTGAACCCAGGGGCACTCTTTTACTGAGTTATATTCCCAGTCATTTTTGTTCTTTTGAGACAGTATCTCGCTATGTTACCCAGGCTGGCGTTGAATTTGTGATTTTCCTGTCTCAGCCTCTGGAGTAGCTGGGATTATAGGCATGTGTCACAATGCCTGGCTAGCAAAGTTTTAAATTTTTACTTTTTGTGTTGGCTGGAGATTGAACCTAGGGCCTCACACATGCTAGGTAAGTGTCCTACCACTGAGCCACATCCCCATCCCCCAGGGAGCAAATTTCAGAGGTGAATATTGAGCCATCTCTTTGAGTGCTTTATTTATTTATTTATTTATTTTGGTACCAGGGATTGAACCCAGGGGTACTCAATCACTGAGTCACATCCCAAGCCCTTTATTTATTTATTTATTTATTTATTTTTCAGTTATAGATAGACACAATACCTTTATTTTATTTATTTATTTTTATGTGGTGCTAAGAATCGAACCCAGTGCCTCGCAACCTGCTAGGCAAATACTCTACCACTGAGCTACAACCCTAGTCCCCTGCCCTTTTTTAATAAAATATTTTATTTAGTTTTCCCAGCACCATTTGTTGAAGATGCTATCCTTCCTCCATTGCATGCTTTTAGCCCCTTTATCAAATATAAGATAGTTGTAGTTTTGTGGATTGGTTTCTGTGTCCTCTATTCTGTACCATTGGTCCACCTGCCTGTTTTGGTACCAGTACCATGCTGTTTTTGTTACTATTGCTCTGTAGTATAGTTTCAAGTCTGGTATCGCTATACCGCCTGATTCACATTTCCTGCTTAGCATTGTTTTTGCTATTCTGGGTCTTTTATTTTTCCATATGAATTTCATGATTGTTTTCTCTATTTCTACAAGAAATGCCGTTGGGATTTTGATTGGCATTGCATTAAACCTATAGAGAATTTTTGGTAATATCGCCATTTTGATGATGTTAGTTCTGCCTATCCATGAACAGGGTATATTTTTCCATCTTCTAAGATCTTCTTCTATTTCTCTCTTTAGGGTTCTGTAGTTTTCATTGTATAAGTCTTTCACCTCTTTTGTTAGGTTGAAATCCATATGCAACAAAATGAAACTGAATCCCTTTCTCTCGCCATGCACAAAAGTGAATTCAAAATGGATCAAGGAGCTTGATATCAAATCAGAGACACGCCGTCTGATAGAAGAAAAAGTTGGCTATGATCTACAGTCAGTGGGGTCGGGCTCCAAATTCCTCAATAAGACACCCATAGCACAAAAGTTAATAACTAGAATCAACAAATGGGACTTACTCAAACTAAAAAGTTTTTTTCTCAGCAAAAGAAACAATAAGAGAGGTAAATAGGGAGCCTACACCCTGGGAACAAATCTTTATTCCTCACACTTCAGATAGAGCCCTAATATCCAGAGTATACAAAGAACTCAAAAAATTAGACAATAAGAGAACAAACAACCCAATCAACAAATGGGCCAAGGACCTGAACAGACACTTCTCAGAGGAGGACATACAGTCAATCAACAAGTACATGAAAAAATGCTCACCATCTCTAGCTGTCAGAGAAATGCAAATCAAAACCACCCTAAGATACCATCTCACTCCAGTAAGATTGGCAGCCATTATGAAGTCAAACAACAACAAGTGCTGGCGAGGATGTGGGGAAAAGGGTACACTTGTACATTGCTGGTGGGACTGCAGATTGGTGCAGCCAATTTGGAAAGCAGTATGGAGATTTCTTGGAAAGCTGGGAATGGAGCCACCATTTGACCCAGCTATTCCCCTTCTTGGTCTATTCCCTAAAGACCTAAAAAGAGCATGCTTCAGGGACACTGCTACATCGATGTTCATAGCAGCACAGTTCACAATAGCAAGACTGTGGAACCAACCTAGATGCCCTTCAATAGACGAATGGATAAAAAAAAATGTGGCATTTATACACAATGGAGTATTACTCTGCATTAAAAAATGACAAAATCATAGAATTTGCAGGGAAATGGATGGCATTAGAGCAGATTATGCTAAGTGAAGCTAGCCAATCCCTAAAAAACAAATGCCAAATGTCTTCTTTGATATAAGGAGAGTAACTAAGATCAGAGTAGGGATGAAGAGCAGGAGAAGAAGATTAACATTAAACTGGGATGAGAGGTGGGAGGGAAAGGGAGAGAGAAGGGAAATTGCATGGAAATGGAAGGAGACCCTCAGGGTTATACAGTGGAGGGGGTAGAGAGAGAGGAGGGGAGGGGAGGGGAGAGGTGGGGAGGGGGGAGGGTGGAGGATGGGAAAGGCAGCGGAGCACAACAGACACTAGTATGGCAATATGTAAAACAATGGATGTGTAACTGATGTGATTCTGCAATCTGTGTATGGGGTGAAGGTGGGAGTTCATAACCCACTTGAATCAAAGTGTGGAATATGATATGTCAAGAAATTTGTAATGTTTTGAACAACCCACAATAAAAAATTAAAAAAATAAATAAATAAAATATTTTATTTAGAGACAAGGTCTCATTAAGTTGATTAGGGCCTCGTTAAGTTGCTGGGGCTGACTTTCAACTCATGATCCTCCTGCGTTAGCCTCCCAAAGCAGTTCTTAGCACCCATTTTAATCATGTAGCGTTGTTTATGCTATACTTGAAATGTGAAATAATTGGCTAAATGATTATTGAAAGATAAAATATCAACATAAACTTTAAAACGATTGTTGTTGATATTGCTTGTTTTATCAGATTCTTGCCAGAACTGAGAGCTAAATTATTACAAGAAGCAAAAGTCAATTCATTCATAAAACCCAAAGAGCATTCTAAAGAAAATGAACTTGTGAAAGATGAAAAAAAAGCAATTTATGGCAATACGTTCCTAAGTACTTCAGTTTTGGGAAAGGTAAGAACTTTGCTTTTCATTTCAGTCAGCATAATTGATTTATAGTTATCCCTCTAATGGAAAAAAAAATTCTCATGACTCAGATTTTGGATGTGTCTATTTCAGGAAGTAGAAAAAGAGAAAAACCCCAAGGAGATCAAGGTCAGAGTTATTAAAGTTAAAGGAGGAAAAGGAGATATTGCAGAACTGAAAAAGATGGAGTATGAAGGTGGACATGGTCAACAGGATGCAACTGAAAATTCTCACACTGTGTCTCAAGATACAAAACCTATAATCAATAAGCCATCAAACCCCGTCAATCCCAGCACTAACTCCAGTGGTATGAAAGAAGATCCACATGCTGGAGGGTGTATCATGCCACCCATCAATCTAACTAGCACTAATTTGATGGCAGCAAGTCTCAATTCAAATATCTCCCATCCCAATCCAAGGTGAGCTGTAATAGAGAAGAGACCTAAATAATACATTGTTATTATATAATGGTATTTCAAAGGATCATTTTTTTTTAGTTTCTATATGTAAACTGTACTTGAAAAATGTCTATTGAAATTATAATTGTATAATGGATCATTTGCTGAGTAATTCTAAAGAATGCTATAGAATAAATTAATTTTTCTTGACTATATAGATGTTTATTTTTTTTGACTAATATCTTTTGGGAAAAACATTTTTAAAAAAGAACCTTAGAAAAAGGTTAGAACCTTAGAACTCTAAGGTTCTTTTTTTTAAGAGAAAAAAGGTGATATGACTGAACTTCTGTTATACATGTACCTTGGTGTCTTAGTCCATCTTCTTTTGCTATGACAAAATACCCAAGGCTGTGTACTTTATTAAGAAAAGAGATTTATTTGGCTCCATATTCTCATGGTGAGAGGGTCCAGGCAAGGGCCCCCTGGCTGCATCATAACATGGCAAAGAAGTGGAGAGGGAATGGGCAATATATGAAAGGAGCATGTATACAAGCGAGGAAGCAATAGGGATTCAGGGGAAGTTCCTGGCTCCCTTGTAACAACCCTCTTTTGTGGAACTTCCTTTAAGAGTAAAACACGCCCCTAAGAGAAAAGCATTAATCCTTCTTAAAGATCTAATCATCTTCCACTAGGCCTCACCTCTTTTTTTTCATCTTAATTATATATTTAATCCTACATATTCAAAATATTTTTTTGCATCTAAAACTTGTTTAATCTTGTTAATAATCAAATAATTATGAATTAAGCCCAAATCATATTGGTTTTTGGTCAAGTATAAGAAACAAGATCTTTTATATATTAATGAATTGTGTTGTACTATTTTATAAAGGAAATTTTAGCTGGTTCAAACAAGTTCACCAAATGCAATGTGATAAATGAAAAATAAAAATATAATCAAAATAATTAAACATATATCTTGGAATATGTTAACTCTAAATAATTCTTAGCACCAGGCTAGTATTGGTGTATGCCTGTAATCTCAGCAATTCAGGAGGCTGAGGCAGGCGGATGGCCAATCCAAAAGCCAGGTTCAGCAACCCAGTGAGGCCCCAAGCAACTCAGTAAGACCCTGTCTAAAAACAAAAAATATAAAGGGTGGAGATGTGGCTCTGGGTTAAATTCCTGCTACCAAAATAACAAAAATAACAAAAACAAACAAATGAATAGTTCTGCAATATCTCCTTTTCCTCCTTTAACTTTAATAACTCTGACCTTGATCTCCTTGGGGTTTTTCTCTTTTTCTACTTCCTGAAATAGACACATCCAAAATCTGAGTCATGAGAATTTTTTTTTCCATTAGAGGGATAACTATAAATCAATTATGCTGACTGAAATGAAAAGCAAAGTTCTTACCTTTCCCAAAACTGAAGTACTTAGGAACGTATTGCCATAAATTGCTTTTTTTTCATCTTTCACAAGTTCATTTTCTTTAGAATGCTCTTTGGGTTTTATGAATGAATTGACTTTTGCTTCTTGTAATAATTTAGCTCTCAGTTCTGGCAAGAATCTGATAAAACAAGCAATATCAACAACAATCGTTTTAAAGTTTATGTTGATATTTTATCTTTCAATAATCATTTAGCCAATTATTTCACATTTCAAGTATAGCATAAACAACGCTACATGATTAAAATGGGTGCTAAGAACTGCTTTGGGAGGCTAACGCAGGAGGATCATGAGTTGAAAGTCAGCCCCAGCAACTTAACGAGGCCCTAATCAACTTAATGAGACCTTGTCTCTAAATAAAATATTTTATTTATTTATTTTTTTAATTTTTTATTGTGGGTTGTTCAAAACATTACAAATTTCTTTTTTTTTTAAAATATTTATTTATTTATTTTTAGTTTTCGGCGGACACAACATCTTTGTTTTATGTGGTGCTGAGGATCGAACCCGGGCCGCACGCATGCCAGGCAAGCGCGCTACTGCTTGAGCCACATCCCCAGCCCATTATTACAAATTTCTTGACATATCATATTCCACACTTTGATTCAAGTGGGTTATGAACTCCCACCTTCACCCCATACACAGATTGCAGAATCACATCAGTTACACATCCATTGATTTACATATTGCCATACTAGTGTCTGTTGTGCTCCGCTGCCTTTCCCATCCTCCACCCTCCCCCCTCCCCACCTCTCTCTCTACCCCCTCCACTGTATAACCCTGAGGGTCTCCTTCCATTTCCATGCAATTTCCCTTCTCTCTCCCTTTCCCTCCCACCTCTCATCCCAGTTTAATGTTAATCTTCTTCTCCTGCTCTTCATCCCTACTCTGATCTTAGTTACTCTCCTTATATCAAAGAAGACATTTGGCATTTGTTTTTTAGGGATTGGCTAGCTTCACTTAGCATAATCTGCTCTAATGCCATCCATTTCCCTGCAAATTCTATGATTTTGTCATTTTTTAATGCAGAGTAATACTCCATTGTGTATAAATGCCACATTTTTTTTTATCCATTCGTCTATTGAAGGGCATCTAGGTTGGTTCCACAGTCTTGCTATTGTGAACTGTGCTGCTATGAACATCGATGTAGCAGTGTCCCTGAAGCATGCTCTTTTTAGGTCTTTAGGGAATAGACCAAGAAGGGGAATAGCTGGGTCAAATGGTGGCTCCATTCCCAGCTTTCCAAGAAATCTCCATACTGCTTTCCAAATTGGCTGCACCAATCTGCAGTCCCACCAGCAATGTACAAGTGTACCCTTTTCCCCACAGCCTCGCCAGCACTTGTTGTTGTTTGACTTCATAATGGATGCCAATCTTACTGGAGTGAGATGGTATCTTAGGGTGGTTTTGATTTGCATTTCTCTGACAGCTAGAGATGGTGAGCATTTTTTCATGTACTTGTTGATTGACTGTATGTCCTCCTCTGAGAAGTGTCTGTTCAGGTCCTTGGCCCATTTGTTGATTGGGTTGTTTGTTCTCTTATTGTCTAATTTTTTGAGTTCTTTGTATACTCTGGATATTAGGGCTCTATCTGAAGTGTGAGGAGTAAAGATTTGTTCCCAGGGTGTAGGCTCCCTATTTACCTCTCTTATTGTTTCTTTTGCTGAGAAAAAACTTTTTAGTTTGAGTAAGTCCCATTTGTTGATTCTAGTTATTAACTTTTGTGCTATGGGTGTCCTATTGAGGAATTTGGAGCCCGACCCCACCGACTGTAGATCGTAGCCAACTTTTTCTTCTATCAGACGGCGCGTCTCTGATTTGATATCTCACAAAAATATTTTTAATATTTTATTCTGGATTAAAAACAACTGCCAAATATATACTACTTACTTTCACTAGAAAAAAAAATAATCGGTGTAGTTCATCTACCCTCACCAATTTTTACATAGGAAAGTGGTTTATTCACAATTGAAGCACGGGCTCAGTTTAATAATAAAAATGATGTCAACACAAACCTATCTAAGAGTAGGTGACTTAAGTATATTTCTGTACATTTGTAGAGTGGGATACTGTACAATTATACTGCCTTAACAAAGTTTTTTGATCTTCTACCAAATGATCAAAAATAGGTAGACAAATGTTTTCCAAATGCCATTCATAAGTAGTTTTTTTTTTCTTTGAGTTTTCCCAGTGTTCACAAAGTGTGTAATTTTATAAAATAGGAAAGTGAACTGAAGCAATTTTTCCAAAGAATGCAATAGATGGTACTAGAACTTAAAAGTTAAGATTCTGGTTCTCTGGAGCAAGACTGTTATTCTCAGAATAATAAATATACTAAAAGTCTGGTTTTTGAAACTTACATTGGAGTTTGATCTGTTTATATGTTTAATGGTATTCTATTCTACTTCTTAATTTTAAATAATTGTTGTTATATTTTGCATCATCCAAATGGTTAGCAATTCTAGGCTTGTCATTCTACAATAGTTACACACATTTCTTTAAACTAGCTCTCATTTGTTTGTTTAGAGCCAAATGGAGAAGCATATATTTAATGAGCGAACAGGTCCAAGCCACCAAATGTCAAGTGTTCCGGAACAAACAGAAGCTGAATTTTTCCAGATCTGACAGGAAAGTATTCCAATTACCTGAATTGCCTTTCACAATACAGTCAAAGGAGAGGAAAGGAATGGAAGGTACACATTTGCTGCATAGCTGCATAAGTCTTCGGATGATAACATGTACAGGACTTTTTTTTTTTGTAATACAGGTTATAGCATGATTTGAAAATAGTAAATTATTGAGAAAAACATTTTCCATTGTTGAGATTTCAAATAAAGGATGATACAAATGAGATAATGTAAAAACCCATTACATCCCAAGTTTTCAGTTCTATGTAGTACAATAGGAAAACAATGGGTTAAAGAGGTGTTAAGACGGCTTAAAAAGGTAAATTTTTAATTCATTCAATGTTGAAATGTTAGGACAGCATGCAAAGAAGGTGGTTTTGGTTCAGTAAATGACCTGGAATAAATCACCTTTCTATAATTATTTGACCAGGAATGTTATATGTGCTTTAGGCACCCAAGGATTTCATAGATTGATTTTTAAATTTAAGATTTATCTTAAAATGAAACTTTTTTTGCCAAGTTATGTTTTTTGAAGAATAGTGACATCTTGTGAAAATGTGATATAATAGCAAGACTGTAGTACTTGTATACTTTTGAGGAATTATCTGATCTGCTTAGTAATACTTAGGATAAAAATATATTCCTTTAATATTAAACTCTGAATTATAAAACAGTTTACCGTATTTTATTATTGTAACTCATGATTCATTTATTTCCTTTGTAATAAACTAAGAAACCAACTGTAGTGGACTTCAGAATTTCCGTTTGAAATTCTTGAAAAGGAGAGTAAAATTTCCAAGTAGGAATAACAAATTTTCATTGTTTTATATATTTTTGCAAAAGTTAAACAGATAAAAGTGCTGAAAATGGAGTCAAGGAAAATAGATTCATCTAAAATACCAGCTTTATTTAATCTGGGTCAAAACCAAGAAAAACAAGAGGTAAAACTTTTTTGCTTATAGCTTTTACTAAGCAATGTTATTTAAAGTCCTTGATTCTTTATACATTCAGTTGTTACTAATGGAAAGCTATATAAAAATTCAGAATTCTGTAATCTTCAAACTCTGGAAAGAGAACTATGTCTTTCTAGAATAACCAATCATAAATGTTTCTAAAAGTTATTTTGGGGTGTATTAATTAACAGCCCTCATTTTTTATGTTTGGTTTGTTTTTGAGATGGAGCCTTGCTATATTGCCCAGGCTAGTCTGGAACCCTTGGGCTCAAGTAATCTTCCCATATCAGCCTCCCCAGTATTAATGGTATTAATATGGGAGTATTAATGGTATTCTATTCTACTTTTAAAAAATATGCCTGGCATATCAGCTCTCATTTGAATTTTGAATGACAAGAATACACAGTACTTAGGGAAAATAGCAACTGTGTTGTCAAACATCAAGCAATTAATCCATACCAATGAAAATGACAGTTCAGATATAAACATCTGGTTACATGGGCCACCAGCATATATATTCAATTTAGCTTCTTTTTGTTTTCTCTCCAATTTATTCCCCATCTCTGCTATTTACCCACATGTCCAATTTTCACAAATATTTGCTCTCAGCTAGCTATCAGGTAATTTCTTAAAATATCCCCTACCCCTATTCACCAGAAAGATTTTTGAATTTTATTTGGAAATTCTGAAGTTTTCAACTCCAAATGAATATCCTATAAAGGTACTCTTTTAAGAAAAAAGAGCCTGTGCTGAGAACTCAGTGAGTTAAATAATGTAGGTGGCCTCCTAGCTGCCCTTTTGAGGTCAAATCTGTAAATGATTTGTCAACTTTATTATCTCTATTTTTTTTTTAAATGGCTACATTTATTTATTTATTCATGATAAAATTTTACTTACTTATTAAGGAAATTTGAAGAAATTAAAAATACAGAAAATTTTATCTGAAACTGTAAGAAGGCATTTTAACTAAAGCTACTCATAATTTGGAGAACAATATTATTAGACACTATTAGATGTATGCTCCCTGTGGCAATTAGGGCTATGCCTTAGTCTTGACCTCGAACTTGTTAAGAATTCCACAATCCACTTTGCAGAAAAGAGATAATAAAACAAGAAAGCCACTAATGGTCATCTGCTTGTTCATTATAAAAGTAACAAGGTAGCTTTAAACTTATACTTTTGGTGACTTACTAATGTTACAGCTTGTTGCACAGCACACCATTTACACGTATTTTGAATGATTAGGTGAATTAGAGCTCTTGAACTTGTGTAGACTAGTAAGCATTACAGATTTTTATCTTACTGTTCCATGAAAGGCCCCAGGAACAAAACCATTCTAATGCTAGAACAAAAGAAATTCTTAAGGCAGTTCTGTCAATTTTAGGATAGTAAATAAACAGGAAACTGGAAGGAAAGCCCTTTCTTCCTCACATGATGTAGAGCTCCTGAAAAGATGACTTTTTTGGGAGTGAAGTACCAGGGATTAAACTCAGGGGCACTCCACCACTGAGCCACATCCCAGTCCTATTTTGTGTTTTTATTTATTTGGATACAGGGTCTCACTGAGTTGTTTAGCATCTCACTAAATTGCTGAGGCTAGCTTTGAATTCGTGATCCTCCTGTCTCAGCCAAACCAGCCACTGGGATTACAGGTGTGGGCCACAGCACCTGGCTACTTATTCTCTTGAAAACATATTATGCTATTTTGTTCTCCAGAAAATCATGTCATTGTTTTGTGGTGCTGACGATCAAACCCAGGGCCTTATACATACCAGACAAAGGCTAGACCACTGAGCTACCCATTTCCAAACCTTGACATTGCTTCCCACCCCACTTTAGGAAAGGAGCCTGTTTAGATTTATCTTTATCTTTATCTTGGTACTTACTATTAAAATTCCATTTTGCTGGATGTGTTGGTACGCTTCTGTAATTCCAGCTACTGAAGAGGCTGAGGCAGGAGGATTACAATTCTGAGTCACTGGGATCACAGATGGGTGTGCTCCACTACACCCAGCTAAAATGATCTTCTAAAAAGAGTGACCTTAAAACAAGATATTATTAGAAATAACCAGAAGTCAGTTGTTTATAGTTTATTTGTACTGTCTATTCAAAAGAAGTTCTGACAGGTGACTGAAATGGCATATAAGGTGTTAGACCACGATGCAAGAAAAGACCACTGACTCCAATTAAAATCAAATTAAAGCAAGCTTATTATTTCGACCAGCCGGGCTGCCTTTCCCATCAAAATCATGGGAGCCAAGGATAGCCGAGAAGCTTCCTTGCAGCCCAGTTTTATAACGCAAAAAGTTACACAAAGGGGGGTTACAGAAAACAAAACTCTGAGGAGCATAACATAAGTTTACATTTTTGCTGGCCCCAACATCAGAATTTATGGAGGTCTTAGAGACTCAGAGAGGGTCGTTATCTGGCCAGGGAAGGCCAGAATTTTTGAGGCATCACTAAGGTTTAGGAAAGGGTTGTTATCTGATCAGGGAAAACTGGGCATGGGTGAGTTCAGGGCACAGGCAGGCGTTTCAATCAGCTTTACAACATCAACTAATGGCCAGGCTGTACAGACATCCTAATATTTTTACAGAAAACAGAAATGAATCCTTCATAACTTGTGATCTAAAGAGAGAACTAGGCTAGGTATATCATAAGGCTAGTTCAAACACTTTTAATAAATTAATATACAAATTAAGAAAATTTCTAGCCTGGGCACAGTGACACACACCTGTAATCTCAGCGACTGGGGAAGCTGACATAGGAGGATCTTGAGTTCAAAGCCAGCCTTAGCAACAACCACAAGGTGCTAAGCAACTCAGTGAGACCCTGTCTCTAAAGAAAATTAAAAAAAAATAGGTCTGGGTATGTGGCTCAGTGGTTGAGTGCCCCTGGGTTCAATCCTCAGTACCAAAAAAAAAAGAGAGAGAGAGAGAAAATTTCTTCATTTGCTTCGGCAGCACATATACTATATAATTGGAACTGTACAATGAAGATTAGCATGGCCCCTGCACAAGGATGACAGCAAATTCATGAAGTGTTCCATTTAAAAAAAAAAAGATATTTTGAGTCTGTAGTTTTAGAGTATACGAGAATATGATATGATACATTTTTAACAACATAAGATAGGAGGCTGGGAGTGTAGCACTTGCCTAGCATGCACCAGGCCCTGGATTAGATCCTCAGCAAGGCCAAATAAACAACAATATACAAAACAAAACCCATAAAAACAGGAATAGCAAATCAGATCCAAGCATTTCCTAAATGTACATTAAATTGTTTCTGGCATATTGAAATAGGCATGCATCCCTTGAAGAGGCTCTACAACTAGGGAGAAACCCTAAATTACTGTGAATGAGTAACTTGGGCAAGACCGATGAGTCCATACAAAGGCCACCTTTAGTTCTGTTTGATGGTGATAATGAGGAATACTTTGTTAGAAACAAACCCCAGATGCAAAATACAGTATTCTATCTCTGCTTGCATTTTCTTAGCCAAAGACTCACTGTTTCCTCAGTTAAGGTCCTGTTTCTGTTTACTTTTAGAATACAGGAAATGCACAGACTGAAAGGAAGAAGAACCTGCCAGATGTAAAGTAGAAAACGCAGCAGCTGAAAATTCAGGGAATATCAGAATTACAATATGGTTTAAAGAGAATGCTTTTTATTAATGTTACATACACAAAAGTGTTGACCAGAGGATCATACAGATTAATGAAAAATCCTATATAGTTATGTGTATATTCACCTAAATTTGAAATTTATAAAATTTGAATTACTTGTTGTCTTAACTTGAACATTAATTTATAAAAAATTGCCTGAACTGTATATTCTAATAAAATTGCAGTTTACATTAAGTCAAATAATTTTATTTGAACATCTGTTATTTCAGGCATGTTTGATTAGTGGTCAATCTCAGCTTTGGCTCAGAGTTTTATAATTACAGAAGGGAGTTTCTAAATACGTCATAAAGTGAGATCCCCAATGTCTGAGAGCACCAAACATTTGTGGGCAAACAAGTATACTTGATAAACATGAAACATGGGTTTGGTTCCACACTGTACGCTCTGAAACAGCATTTACCCCACAGATTGAGAAATTGTTTAAAAAGATGGAAACTAGATAAAGCAAGGAAGCAATTCTTTTGGCCTGACCAGCGTATTTATAATTTAGTTCTTTACACATAATATAAAGTTAACACAGTCAAGGTTTTAGCAGCATATATTTACATTCTTATCTTTGATTCTTACTAGCTTGGTTTCTAATTTTAGGGTGGAGATGGCCATTGTGAGGGGAAGAATTTGAAGAGGAACAGATTTTTTTTCTGGTAGTGTCTTTTAAGTAATGGTAAAAATACAAACTGACAACTTCCTTTTTAATGTTATATACAATAGAAATGTACCTTGAGCTGTTGCTAAGACAGCCATCCATCCATCTGCATTAGCCTCATCCAATTGTTTTTGTTTTGTTAGGAAAATATTCACTGTTTTCTTCTTTCTTCTAAGAACTCTGTTGTTGTGATGCTTTGATTTGGAATTGTAAAGTCATCTTCTCTCTGCCTGTTTTTTACTTGCCATGATTACTGAGTGGGTAACATTCCCTGTTACATGACACACATTATTTATACTGATCTCTACCCTCTTGAGAATCACAGAACTTCAAAAGTCAATTATCTCCTAGAACTCTCCAGTTTCCTGAAAACAAATTCTTAATGAAATAGCTAATCCATTATTTTATTTTTAGTATTACAATTGAGCTCTAGCCCTTTTTATTTTTTATTTTGAGACAAGTTCTCACTAAATTGCTTAGGGCCTCATTGAATTGCTGAGGTTGACCTTGAACTTGTGTTCCTCTTGCCTCAGACTCCCATTATTTTAAAAGCTAATCATTACCATTACATGATGAAATATGTCTTATATTGGTCAGCAATAAAAATATAATACTTATAAAATATCTAAAGATAATATGACTTTGAGATTTAATTCCTTTATCATTTTAAATAATTGGCTACACTCTTCCAGTTTCCTAGTTCCATGTAATAGTACTTTTATGTGGTAAGGACTTTTTCTATTTCATAAAATAAACTGTGCACAACCCAGAGATGGTATACTATCTGACTTTTCTATTGCTGTAACCAAACAACACAGATTGGATAGTTCATTTAAAAGGGTGGTGGGGGGGGTTGGACCCTAAGAAGCCTAAGAGCATGGTGCTGGCATCTGTAAGGCAGCCGATGAGGGAGGGCCTTCTTACTGTATTATAAACATGGCAGAGGTCATTACATGGTGAGACAGGGCAAATATGCTAGTTTAGTCACTCTTACTTTTCTTATAAAGTCATTAATGTCATCATAGGGGACCCACTTGTATGACCTCATCTAATCCTAATTTCCTTTAAAGGCTCCAATTTCCAAATCTCTGAACATATAAATTTGGGGATTGAGTTTCCAATATCTGAACTGTGTGTGTCTGTATATTTGTGTGTGTGTGTGTGTGTGTGGTGCTGGGGACTGAACATGGGATGTTGAACACACTAGAAAAGCACTATACCAAGAGCTACATTCCCAACCCTTCAACACATGAACTTTTGAGGGATATATTTGAACTTTGGCGCTACCAAAATTCTGGATTTTTCTACTCTTCAAGAAAAGTTAATACAATTGTCCTACTTGATGTTTTACCAGGATTCTACCGGATTCTGTATTTACTGAATCAACATGGAAATAAAAGAAAACATAATTTTATTATGTTATTTTTGAAATTTTTATTTCATTTCATTTTTGCGGGACTGGGGATACCCAGGGCCTTGCACATGCTGGGCAAGTGCTCTGCCAGTGATTTTCTTCTCCATTCCTTTATTTTATTTATTTTTAAATCAATCATTTTCACTTTCATTTATTATAATTTATCCTTTTCATTTATTATAATGGGTTTCATTTATTACAATTTATGCTTATTTGCTAGGGTTTGATCATCCTATTTTGGCATCATCAATAATTTTTTTTATTTGTTCTAATTAATATACATGACCGTAGGATGCATTTTGACATATTATACATCAATGGAGTATAACTTCTCATTATTCTGGTTGTACATGATATAGAACCACACTGGTTGTATAATTGTATATGTACATGGGTACCTCTATTTTTTTTAATTTTATTTTTTAATTTGTTCTAATGAGTTATACATGACAATAAAATGCATTTTGACACATTGTGCACAAATGGAACATAACTTCTCCTTCCTTGGCTGAACATGATGTAGACTTACTTTTATTTTGCTGACTTCTGAAAGTGGAGGCTGAGGTCATTCTATTTTCTAATATAAGCAACTAAAACTTTAAATTTCTTCTCCTACATCCCACAAACCCTAAAACTATGAGTCAAAATAAACCTTTCCTTTTTTAAGTTGATTATCTCAGGTATTATATCAGTGATGCAAAACTAGTACTGAAAAAAACAAAACACACACAAAATAAACAAAATTGCAACTAAGTTGAGTTAGTGATAGCACCTTTAGGTCTGATATGTTTACTGATATGGGGGGGAGTGGGGATTGAACTTAGGGGCACTCAACTACTGAGCCACATCCCCAATAAAATATTTTTATTTTTTAGTTGTAGGTCGACACAATATCTTTATTTTATTTTTATGTGGTGCTGAGGATTGAACCCAGTGCCTCATGTATGCCAGGAAGGTGCTCTACCACTAAGACCCAGCCCCAACCCCCCAACCCTTTTTAAAATATTTTATTTAGAGACAGAGTCTTGCTAAGTTGCTTAGGACCTTGCTAAATTGCTGTGCTGGCTTTGAATTTGTGATCCTCCTGCCTCAGCTTTCCAAGCTGCTGGGATTACAGGCATGCACAACTGCTTATTTACTGATCTTTAGTCAACTTGTTTTATAAATTACTGAGGGAGGCATATTGAAATCTTCAACTATAATCCTGGATTTATCTGTTTCTCCTTTCATCTGTATCAATAGTTTCTTTATGTATTTTGAAATTCTGTTATTAGGTACATATATATTTAGGACTATTATATTTCTAATGAAACTGACCCTTATCTGCTATATACTGCCTGAAAACAGTTTTATATTTGTTTGAGATTAAGACAAAAATACTATTACTCCATTATTGCTGGAACTAGAAGTTCAGTTAAAAAGTACTTATAGGGTATTTAGTGACTGTTTTGAGTAATGGAAATCTGTTGAATAATACACTGACATTTATCTTAAGAATTAAAAAAAAAAAATCCCCAGAGTAATTAGTAAAAGTTATAGTTCTGTTTTATATAAATTGTCCTTGATTGAACAATGTTTTAATTTATGACCATACCTAAGGGTATGGATATGGAACAGGAATGTGTCCCCTTGTTATAAATATTTAATTAATAATGTATTTTTGTGATGCTAGGTGTTGAACCTAGGGTCTTGTGCATGGTAGGCAAGTGAACTTCCACTGCACTGTACCTTCCAGCTTCCTGTTATTATAAAGGTAGGGTCTTATTCATACTTTATTTTTTATCCTTATTCTAGTTATTATAATTATCGTATACAATAAAAAAATTGGTGATTACATGTTGACTTCTTGCCAGTAGTAAAAGGAAATTTCATCAGTGATTGTTGTTGGTAGGATAGATTTTATTGGCTAATAACATTTGTCAAAATGTATTATTAGGTAAATGTATTTGAGTTCTTTTTCTGGTCTATTTTCACATGTGACTTCATGTTATTTCTTATAATGTGCTTTTTTAAAAAGCAAGTGGTTGAAGTAATGAGTTGCTTACGTCAAAAATGAAAATGACCTATATTGGCTAGAACATGATAACATTAGGATAAGCCAGGAGTCATTGAAAGAAGATATTGTGTTTTTTCATTTGTATTTCATTCTTGCAGCCTTTTTATCAACCGTTCTCAATAAATTTTATTTCCAGGATCTGAGTAAAAATAGTGTAAGGCCATGGTTGTGACAGAGTGATAAAATCAACATTTTCTTTAAATTCAGGGGTTAAGGAAATCATACCTCTTAAAGCACATATATTGTTTTGTATATCTAGGAACCAAATTATAATAGTACATAGGAATACCAAGAAGAGGAAAAGTTAAGTTCAAAATCATACAGCTGCCAAAAATAGTCTAAATTGTAAATAAAGTCTAAATTAAAGTTAGGCTAGGTTACTAAAACAATTAGCAGAATTGCATAGAAAAGTGATCAGGAGATCTTAGGTGATGTGGGAGCCATTAGTTGCAAGCATATTAAAGGCAACAAGCTAGCATTTGAACAAAAAAATTTTAAATTAAGTTAGTTCTTAAAACTTGGGCTGGGGTTGTGGCTCAGTGGCAAAGTGCTTGCCTCACACATGTGAGGCACTGGGTTTGATCTTCAGCACCACATGAAAATAAATAATAATAAACAAAATTGTACCCATTAATGGATCACCAGGTAAAATGTCAGCAAAGCATTCTTTTATTTAATAAAAGGTGAAAGTATACAAACAAAATGTCCTGCTAGGGGCTGGGGATGTGGCTCAAGTGATAGTGCGCTTGCCTGGCATGCGTGCAGCCCGGGTTCAAGCCTCAGCACCACATACAAACAAAGATGTTGTGTCCACTGAAAACTAAATAATAAAAAAATATTTTAAAAAAATGTCGTGCTATTCTACTAACTTCCTGTATATTCTCTCCTGCAGAGACAGGTTTATAACCATTGTTTTTCTTTTCTACAAAAGTAATTCTGAGATCAGATACCTAGAGGAATGTCCTTATGGGTAGGATTAAAGCCAAACTAAAAGGAAGAAAGATGAAAGCGTTTGTTAGGCTATATTCTATTCAAACTTGTACAATATATTGCCATTCATCCTAGATTTGCTATACAGTAGTTGCTTGTTATTGATTAGTTTTGAATTATTATTTGAGAAATCTCAGAGGGCAGACAACCCTTCTTAAATATGTCTTGGGCAGGGCACTGTGGCACATGCCTATAATCCCAACTACTTGGGAGACTGAGGCAGGAAGATTGCAAGTTTGAGCCCAGTCTGGGCAATTTATCAAGACCCTGACTCAAAATTAAAAAAAAAAAAAAGAAAGAAAGAAAGGTTGAGGATGTAGCTCAGCAAGCATTCTACCTAGCACATTTGAGGCAAGGCCCTGGGTTCAATACCTAGTAGCGCCTGTGCGCACACACACACAGCCCTGGGTTCAATAACTAGTAACACACACACACACACACATATGCACTTGGACAAAGAAAAAATAGGCTTATTCACCTTAATTTTGAAACCTGGAGCTCTAGAAAGAATTACTGAGTTCATAATCACTATAAATTTGTTTTTTTTTTAAATATTCATTGTTTAGTTGTAGTTGGACACAGTACCTTTATTTTATTTATTTTTATGTGGTGCTGAGAATCAAACCCAGGGCCTCACGTGTGCTAGGCGAGTGGTCTACCACTGAGCCACAACCCCTGTCCTAAATTTGGTATTTTATCTTTTTTAAAAAAGTCTGATTAGTTTCTCTTTATAATAATTTAATGATTCTGTGGGAAAGCAAAAGATGATTTTTTGTAACTTGAATAATCAACAAGAATTTGGGCTGCTCTTTCCTGTCTATATTCACTCAGCAATCTGATCCAGACTGTTGGGAGGCTAAAGTAGCATATACCATTTATATGCTCTAGCCTGAACTCCGTGTTCAAACTCCAGACTCAGATTTCCAGTTGCCCATTCAACAGCTCCAGTAAGACATCTAAGAGGCATCTCTAACTTAATGCATCTAAAATTAAGGTCCCTGCTCTCTTCCCTACTCCTGCTTGTTCTCTTCATTATTTTCTGTTTCTCCAGTTGCTCAGAGAGAAAAATCTTGGAGTCAATCTCTATTTCCCTCTTCCTACATACTTTCACTCTATCTTTGACTTATTTTCAGGGTCTGACCACTTTTTAACTCTCCACTTCTATTCACATCTCTTGTCCAGATTTTGTAGAAGTCCCCTACCCAGTCTTTCTGTTTTTACCAATGTCCAACTTTCATTTTCTTATAA